TGTTAGACAAAAGTGCAACTCTAGAGGGGGGGTGAATAGAGTTGTTTTCAAGAATGTACGTTTTTCGTAAAAATTATCGCAGGAAAAAGTAAGGAGAGTAAGGGAAAGAAGAACACCGGGATTTATACTGGTTCACCACCTCGTGGCTAGTCCAGTCCTCCGAGAGACTCTCTCGAAAGTCCTACTAATCTTCAAGCTTCAACGGGTGCTTGAAAAACCGGTACAACTTGAGAACTTGAATCACACAAGCCTCACTTTCTTACAACAACAAGACTTGAGTCACACAAGTCTTAAGAACAACACTCAAATGAGATTGAGTTTACAACACAAGAATGAAAGCTCACACAATTGAGCAAAGTAGTGTTGAAAGATTTAAGCTCTATGGATGACAACTTCTATAGCACTCAAAGAAAAAATATTTCTAACTCTCAAAAATAATATTTTGATGAGGAAGATGAAGCAAAGTATGAATAGCTCAGGGAAATATGTTGGAGTGCAAAAGGTGTGTTGAAATGAAGGAGAATGAGGGATTAAATAGGCTGAGAAGAATAAAGCCGTTGAAGAAAGTTGATGTTCTGTACCAGAGAGAATTAATCGATTAAATTAGGAATTTTAATCGATTAAAGTGTACAGAAGCGAAAAGCCTGAAAAGAAAGTTGAATAATAATCGATTAAATGAAGGCAAATAATCAATTAATAGGCTCTGTCCGAACTAATCGATTAATTGCTAAGAAATAATCGATTTTTGTTCAAAAATGAGCAGCCCTACTGAAAGGCTTAAAAATCGATTAAAATGAAGCAAAAAATCGATTAGGAGGTTCTGTCCAAGCTAATCGATTTTTTTTGGAGAAAAAATCGATTAAGAATTCAAACCTGAAAAATTGCGCTGGATCTAATCGATTATTTTAAAGGAAATAATCGATTAAAATGAAAATAATGCGCAAACACAAAGGGCCCAAGCCAAGTGCGATTGGAAGCACTTTGGCTTCTAACTCGTTGTTTGCGACAACGAGAATAAGAAGGCGCTCCTACGATTATATCTCCCTTATTCAATGAATTTGAGTAGGGGAGAGAAAAAGAGAGTCCAAAAATTATTTTGTGTGTCAAACAATACAGAAAAAAAATTAAAGTATATTTTTCTCACCAAAGAAAATTGTGTAACTTTAAGAAAATGTTTAAAGAAATTTTGACACACTTATTTTGAGATTGACTCACTAAAATATTTTAGACAGAGAAAAAATGATATTTCAACGTACTCAAAAATAATTTTTATCCCTCAGAAATTAAATTGTTTTGTGCACAAGATATTGTCATCCTTACAAGAATCCTAGACTCAATAAAAATTAAAAAGTCTTTGGAGTCTTCACATCACTTCGAAAAACTGCGTTGGGGGACCGTTGATTTTTATCCCGTAACTTTCTTGATACGCCTCTTTTCTTTTCTCGGTACGAAAATTAAATTTTCGATCATCGTTTGAATTTCATCATCCTGTTTGTCATTTATCAAAACAAAAATATTCTAGAAAAATAATAAAGGGGTTTGAACTCATGTCCAACAGAGAGGAATAGAGCCCAACCCAGAAAAAATCCGGGCTATCACTGAAATGCAAGCCCCTACCTCCGTTAGGGATGTTCAAAAGTTGACCGGTCGTTTAGCGGCCCTCAGCCGGTTCCTTTCCCAGTCAGCTGAGAGATCCCTGCCCTTCTTCAAAGTTCTGAAGAAGGCCAACGCATTTGCATGGGACGAAGAATGCCGGAGGGCATTCGAGGAGCTGAAAGAGTACCTAGCGTCGGATATTGTATTGTCTAAACCCGAACCAGGTGAAACTCTGTATCTGTACCTGGGGATTTCCCCAAATGCTGTAAGCTCCGTTTTAATAAGAGATGATGGGGCGCAAAAGCCCATTTATTATGTGAGCAAAGCACTAAACGGGGCTGAGAGTAGATATACGGCGATGGAAAAGACGGCCTATGCACTTTTCATCTCCGAAAAAAAGTTAACATCATACTTCCAAGCTCACCCGGTAGAAGTCTTGACTGACCAACCGCTGGTGCAGTGTTGCGAAATTCAACATCCTCTGGGAGGATGGTGAAGTGGGCGATGATGTTAACTCAATTCCACATTGAGTACCGGCCGAGGTCGGCAATTAAGGGACAGGCCCTTGCTGACTTCCTAGTAGAAATGACCGGTCTAACTCCAGACTTACCGGTCAACAAGCCCACTGAGCAATGGTGGGAGATGGCAGTTGATGGGGCATCCGGTCCTAGAGGATACGGGGGTGGTATCGTGTTCACCACCCCAGGAGGGTTCAAGATCTACCATGCAATCGTCTTCAACTTCAAGCTGACGAACAATGAGGCAGAATATGAAGCTCTGGCTGGAGGGCTCAGACTTGCCCAAGCCCTGAAAATCAGCCGCGTCAGTATCAAATCTTACTCTAGCCTGATAGTAGGGCAGGTGACCGGTAACATGGAAGCAAGGGAAGGACGCATGGCACAATACAAGGACCTTGTACTCGCCCTGTTGAAAGGCTTCGAAGAATTCAAGATCGCCCAAATTCCCCGGGCGGAGAACGCGGATGCAGACCTTCTCTCCAAATTGACGCAGTATGCTCCCGAGCATGTTTCGAAACTTGCCCGGGTAGAGATCCTTGACCGTGCAAGCATCGA